CCCGCTCCCTCACCAGGGGCCGCCTCTGCCGCGGCCCGCTCCCGTGCGCCTGGCCTGCTGCTGGCGTCCGCCTGCCCGGCTGCCTGTCCACCGCCCACCTGTCCACCCCTGCCTGCCTGCCTGTGCTCAGCCGCCCCACCAGCCGCCGATTGTCCCGCCCCCCGCAGCACCGGCCTCAAGTGCAACTGGGAGCTGGGCACCTTCCCCTTCAAGTTTGAGCCCGGCGTTGACGGCGGCCCCTCCTCCCTCGTGTACGACGTCGACCCCGACTCCAGCAGCGACCCCGGCTGCCCCCAGATCCGCATCAACAACCCCAGCTGGGTGGCCCCCTGCGTGGTCCAGTTCTACCAGGCCAGCCTGGGACAGGCCGGCCCCGGCGGCTTCCCCCTGCTGTCCACCGAGTCGTGCGTGGCCGACACGACGAGCTTCACCATGCCCCACACCTGGCAGGTCAACCACAGGGGCGAGGCCGGCGGCCTGGACATCAACATCAAGTCCATCACCGTCGGCTTCATCCACCCTGACGTGGACCGCAGCTTCTTCATGATCTACAAGGCCTCCACAGCCACCAAGGCCGTGACCACGCAGGTGCTCGGCGGCACCTTCACATCCTCCCAGCCCAACACGGCGGTCACGCTGTCAGAAACCATCCCGCTGGCGGTGGGCTCGCCCGTGTCCTTTGAGGTGCTGTCCTACCTGGACAGCACCAACCCCTCCGCGCAGCCCAAGAACAACTACCAGCTCATCTCGTACATCACCAGCGGCTGAACAGCTCACACCCTCCCCACCCTCCCCCGGGAACCTTCCCCTCAATCAGATAGACAGTCTCAGTTATACTATGTTACTCCCAATGCGCTCCCCGTATCCTCAGATCTGCTGACCCCTAAACCCTCGGTCCCTGCCATTCTTTCCCCCTCTGCCTCTCTGCCACCTCAGCGCTTAGGATGCCGCACAATGCGGCTCCCTGCCCTGCATCCCCTGATATCAGCAGTCCCGCCCATTTGCTGGTTGCCACCTTCCTTCAGTTGCTCCCTCCCTTCTTCACTGGTACAGCGTGACTGCCGAGCGGTGCTGCTGCTAGCAGCCCGTGCGATCAGGCTGCAGGGTTCACCTGCACCTGGGCCGGCACCCGCCCCGCGCCACACTACCCACCTCAACCCCTGGTCTTGCCCCCCAACCCTGTGTCCCCCCTGTTCTGAACCTTCATGCATGCTGAGTAGATCCCCCCGAGCGGGGCCCCTGATCCCTGGCTGTAACTTGTGGTGTTGCACTGGGGAAGACATGCACCAACCCTGCTGGAAAGCCAGGCAGCTCAGCTGTGGCGGTGGCTGGCAGGAGCGACGTCACAGCAGCAGAGGTCACTCAGCGCACAGGCGGTGGGTGTGGGCCTGGGAGGCTGGCGGCGGCCTGGCTGCTAGCGCCTGCTGGCGGCACCCGCTGCCGCCCCCGCCGCTGCTGCCGGTGCTGGCACTGCCAGGTACGGCACCACCACCGCCTGCTGGAACCAGGCCAGGGAGAAGCGCATGTGGGCGCCCGGCGCGTGCAGCAGCTCCAGCCTCCCCGCCTCGTCCAGCGCCCGCAGCCCCAGCCAGTCCTGGGCGTACAGCGGCTGCTCCCGCAGCGGCACCAGGTGGCTGCCATTGAAGAAGCCAAAGTGGGATGACTCCTTGGGCACAACTGCAGAGCAGGCGAGCGGGGGCTGAGTGTGGGTGCACGTGCATGTGTGGTGGTGGTTGCGCACCTCACGACGGCAGCCAGGCGCGCCGGTTCGGCCATCGACGACGCCAGGCAGCCAACCATGTGCTGCCTCCCGCCAGCCCACCCAGCAAGCAGGCAGCCCCGCCGCCTGCCATCTTCCCTCCAGCCAGCCAGCAGCCCCGCCCACCCATTTCGTCTGCGTCAAACTGGAAGAGCACGAGGCGGTGCAGGGAGGCGAGGTTGTCGTGGTACCGCCGCTTCCGGGCAGCTGCCACCTCGTTGTTCAGGTCAGCCAGGAACAGGGAGCGCTGCAGGTAGAGGTCCAGGTGCCAGGGGTCCTGCGGGGGGGAGGGGAGACAGGCGGGGGCAGGTGGGGCGCGGAGTGAGGAGGGGTCGGTTGGTGGCTGCGGGGACGGGCATATGTGCAGACCGCGTCATGGGCACAGGACATCGGCAAGCAAGCCCGCAAGCTTGCTGCTCGGCTTGGCGCGGGGCCGGGACGCGGGCAGGGCGGCTGCCTGCGCGGCATGCCCGGCACGCACTGGCCGCCGCCTTGCCTTGACGTACTGCGCCTGCACCACATGGCCCTGCACCAGCCACGAGTAGGCGCCCCTGCCAATCAGGCCCTGCACACAGCCACGGGCGCGTGGGGCAGCCAGCAGGCGGGCGAGTGAAGCCAGCGACGCCGCGACAACCCCAGGCACCACCTCCAGATGCCAGCGCTGGAGCCCGCAAGCGCATGCGCCCGCACTGTGGCTGCTGGCCCCGCTGCCCGGCCCATCCAGCCCGCACGGACGCAGGCAGGGCGGGGGCCCAACCGCCCACGCGGCAGTACGCGCCTGCATGATGCGGCAGTACAGCGTGCTGTTGGCGTCGCCGCCCTGCAGGCACCCCGGCACCGCCATCACGCCCTGGTGCTGCGCCCCCACCGTCACCAGGCTGTGCATGCTGGGACCCAGGTGCTGGCATCGCTGCGCCACCGCACGCAGGAACTGGCCGCCCTGCACGGGGCGGGGCGGGGCGGGGAGGCGGGGTGGGCAGGCGCTGCTCGGCTGCCGCGCAGTCGAGGGCGGCAGGCACACGCGGGGCGGCCGCTGGGTGGCAAGCGTGGTGCTGGACGCCGGGCTGCTGCCGTGCCTTGCTGCCACACTGGCCGCAGCTTCAATCCCACAGCCTGCCCATCCCCAACCATATTTCCCAGGTCATACACAGTCCCACCTGCGAAAACCCCACCGCCACAAAGCCGTCCTTGAGCTCCTGCATCCCCAGCAGCTCATCGCACACAGCCGCCACCTGCAGCACAGGCGGGTGGCTGCAGTCAAGCAAAGCAGTGCAGCACGACTGGCGCATGCACCGTGACCGCGCCACAGGGCAGCCGCATGCACGCAGCAGGCAGCAGCAACCACAGCGCAGCACCGCGGCCTGGGCCGTGCCTGGGCGTTCACGCTGCCAAAGTAGGAAGAGAGCACGTCGGCGGATTCGCCCTGGCCGGTGGCGATGCTGTGCACATAGGTGCCGGGCAGGGCCTGGCGGATGCTGTCTGCCACAGCGCCCATGGAGTGCTCGCTGCAGCACGAGTCGCCCATGCCTGCGGGCAGAAGTGGGGTGGGAGGCAGGTTGCTCCAGGCGAGCGGGCAGCGGCGGCAGCACGGCGGCGGCGGCAAGAACCCTCACCGTGCCACAGCACAACTGGCAAGTACTTGGTTGTCGCTTCCTCCTTGGTTCTGGGGCCCAGGTGCAGCTGCGTGTGCGCTCTGCTGGTCGCCTCTGAACCCTGCCAAGACAGCAGCAGGGCCAGCAGCGCAGCCCTCCGATCCCGCCACGTCATATCCAGCGACTCACGACCTGCCGATTACGCTCTGGAAGCAGCAGCGGGAGAGCGGGAGATGCCACAAGGGATGTGTTTGCGTTGCGATCGCCTTGGGGTCTGGGCTGTGCAGCTAGCTTGGTTTCAAGCGTCGAGAAACGGCGCTACAAGTCGAATAGAGCGCCTTCTGTAGTGGCACCGCCGCATCAGGCAAAGCATGCAGACCGCCGCTGATGGCCTCCCTGTACAGGACGGTCCTCATCCTTTCATTCACGTGTGTTACAGCGCAGGGGGTACGGAGGGGCGAAGGGTGTCTGTAAAGCGTCAAGAAACAGCGGTGGTGGCAGTCAAGTGCAGAGGAGAAGCGAGAGACGTGAGGCAGCATGAAATCGAGCGGGGCAAGCTGCCCGGGGCATCACGGGTGGCGGCTGCGCCAGGCGCTGCCTCTTCCACCGCCGTGCTGCCGCGGCACCGGCTCGTCATGTTTCCAACGAGTCCAGCTCCTTTAGCCGCTCCAGGATGACCTGCGGCACGGGCACCCATCCGCCATGCACCTCATCAACGCCCAGGCCAGCCACGCCTCTCTGCTGGCCTTCCTTGCTGCTGGCAGGCCACCACCCCAACCCGCACCCCCACCTTCTTGCTCGTCTCCTGTATCTCCCCGCCAATGATGAACTCATCCAGGATGCAGTACACCTTGTGGAACCCAAACACCAGGTCCAGCTCGCACACGTTGCCAAAGTAGTGGTCCAGGATCTGGCGGGGGAGGGTGCGGGAGTGGGCAGGTGTGTGTGTATGTGTGTGTGTGTGGGGGGGGGGGGGTACAGCACGGCAGGGGGCCGTGTGGGAAGCAGCAGAGCGAGGCCAACGGGGGCTCAGCAGCTAGCGCACGCCGCTCAGGTCCGACGGTTGCCACGCCGCCGTCTCAACGTGCACACTCGCAGCCCGGCAGCCTGGCAGCCCCCTAGCGGGCAGCAGCAGCACCGGGCGTCCACCACGCTGCCTCCCTGCTCCGTGGGGGCCGCACCCGCACCTCCACAAACAGGTGGATGGTCTCCAGGTAGAGCAGCTCGTTGTCGGTGACGTCCACGCAGAAAATGAAGTACAGGCCGGCGTACCGCCGATACACCACCTTGTACGTCTTGTACTGCACATGGCGCGGCAGCAACACGGCCCGCAGGGTGGCGTCGAGGGGCGGGCGAGAAAGCGGGCAGCGCAGCGGGGCAGGCGAGGGGGCGGTGCGGCTGCTGCTCCCCTGGAGTCTCCTTGCATCCTGGGCGATGCCCCCGCTTGTCCACGCCCTCCCTACCCCATTCTCCCCACCTCCAGGAAGTTTGTGAACTTGGCGTCGCGGTTGGCTATGAGGCGGTAGACCTCATCCTCTGTGCGGGACTTGTCGTCGTCCGACAGCGGCATGTAATACTTGGCAAGGCGCGTCTTGCCCGCCCGGTTCTGGAGCAGGAAGAACCGGATCTGCAAGCGGCCGTGCGCGGGGAGCAGGGTGGTGCAAGGCGTGACGCGGGAGGCGACCGTCTGGGCGGCGGCAGCGGCGGCGGCCATCTGGCCCGATCGCGCTGCCCACCGCGGCTTCAGGTCTTTGGGCGGCTTGCCAGCCGCTGCAAGCACTTCGGAGATACCCCACCACGCACCATGGCGCTGGGCACACGCAGTCCTCGCTCGGCTGCACACTAGCTGGGTTGCCGGCTGGCCCGCGGGCCACCCAATCTGCTCGCCGCCTGGTCGCTTCTGCTGTGATTGCTACAGCTGGCTGGCCGCGCAAGAGGCAAAGAGGTCAAAGGCTGTTGATCGCCTGCTTGAGGGGGCCTGGGAAGGGCGGCAAACAGCTGTGAGATTGACGGCGCATTCGAGCCGGGGAGTGCGCCAGGCTAATGAGCTGCACCGCCAGCCCGCCGCCACGCGGGACGAGCAGCCGCCGGCAGGTGGATGCGGCGTCCAGCAGCCCAGCCCTCTCATTCTCCGTACACGGGCGCAGGCCCAGAGTGCGGGATGCATCACGATGCCTGCCTAATGGCGGCTGACCAGGATAGCCACTCTGCACACTGTCGACATTTACAGCTGGGGGAGACGAAACGGTGGTGCGCCGCACAGGTGTGGACGCTCGGCAGGGGGGTAGGTAACAATCCGATCGAGGCGCTCAATACGTTAGCGCATGCAGGGGTGGTGTGAATGTGGATTAAAATGGAGGGGTGATAGACGCTGCGGCACAGCAAGCAGGCCAGGGGGCCATGCGACACTGATGCCGCAGCCCATACGTGAGCATTGCTGCAACATGCAGCGCAGACGAGGGATGCTGGAGCCTGGCCAGCTGCTTGAAGCCCAAAAGGCTAGCGGGACGGGACCTGGCTGTGAGTGCTCAGATGGGCGCTCGTGGGGGCGCTCAGGGAGCATGCAAGGCAACAAAACGGGGTGCGAGGAAGAGGCAAGGAGCCACAGGCAGGGCAGTGGAGAGCGCTCATGCAAGAAAACCGCCTCCCGCCAAAATCACACGGGCACGAAATGGC